AGTAAATAGATTAAATGTAAATAGATTAAATTCTGCAAACAAAAGGCAGAGATTGGCAGAATGGATTTTTTAAAAAATGAACCTACTATAAAATGAACCAACTATATGCTATCTACAAGATAGCATTTTTTTAAATGAACCAACTATATGCTATCTACAAGAAACTCACTTTAGAGCCAAAAACATAAATAGGTTTAAAAGTGAAAGGATGGGGCTTCCCTGGTGGCGCAGTGGTTGAGAGTCCGCCTGCTGATGCAGGGGACACGGGTTTGTGCCCTGGTCCGGGAAGATCCTACATGCCGCGGAGTGGCTGGGCCCGTGAGCCATGGCCGCTGGGCCTGCGTGTCCGGAGCCTGTGCTCTGCAACGGGAGAGGCCACAACAGTGAGAGGCCCGCGTACCGCAAAAAAAAAAAAAAAAAAAATTTGTTTCTTTTTTGACTTTCTCAGTTTGTTGAAAGAGTGATCTCCTGGTTTTCTTTTGTTCTTTGTCCATGGTTTCCATTACCTCTTTCAGCATATTTAAGACAGTTTAACATCTTTGTCTAGTAAGTCCAATGTCTGCTTCCTCATAGGAGAAATTAACTCCTATGTATGGGAGTTAATATTTTTGTTTCTTTGCATGCTTTGTAATATTTTGTTGAAAACTGGGTGTTTTGAATATTATAAAGTAGTAACTCTGGAAATCAGATTCTCCTCTCTCCTCAGAGTTTGTTTTAGTTGTGTGCTGTGGTTTGTAGTTGTTTAGTGACTTTTCTAAACTATTTTTGTAAACTCTATTCTTTATTGTGTTTGTTCTTTAAAGTCTGTTTCTTTAGCTTTAGTCAGCTCATATTTTGAGAGAGATCTTGAATGCCCAAAAAAACCCCCCAAAAAGCAAAAACAGAAAAGAAAAGAAAGGGGGGAAAAACCCCTTCTAACTTTGCAGAATGGTCTGTTCTGTAGCTCTCCTTCTATACTTAGCCAGACTGTTTACAAGTCTGTCTTAGCCTTCATTTCTTGCTTGTGCTGAGCCTAAAGATCAGCCAGAGGTGAAAATTTATGTTCTTTTCAGGTTTTTTCTGAGTATGCTTCCTGTGCTGGGCAGGCAAGTGTGTGGCTTCCTAAATTCCTGTCTTTAGGATATGTGGGCACTTTCCAGTGCCCTAATTTCCTGAGGAAATTCTCTCCCCAGCTTTTCCCCCCAGGCTTTTGGTGTGTCTGTGTGCCTTAGTTGAAATCTTTTCCCCCAGGGGGCAGCAAGTTGTTATTGGCCTTACAAGGTTTTTGAGAGATGCCCTCTGTGTAGCCACTTTTCTGCCCAGAGAGAGTTCTAAGTTAGCAAAACAAAGATAAGCATCTTGTGTCAGACCTTCAGGTAGCCCCCAGGCTGGGCAAAACAGACAAACAAAATTCTTTCAGAGTAAAGTCTTCTCTGTTCTTTCTTGAACCAGGGACTAGATTCCTACACTAAGAATGAAGGCAGTAATCTTCAAAGACCACTGAGTGAAGGGGTGGGGCAAGGGCTGTAAAAATTGCTGCAAGCTTTCCTACTGTTTTAACGTTGCTTGTTTCTTGATTCATTGTTCTCTGAGTTGCTGTAAATTTCTCATTTTCTGGAGTTGTGACAAAGCTGATTCTGAACAGTTTTTGCTCGACTTTTTAGTGATCTGTGGAGGGGTGGGCCCTTGGAGCTACCTACTCTGCCATTTCACTGATGTCACTCAAGAAAGGTTTCAAAAAATTATTTACAGTTATACCTTTGAGATATTGTGGGTTCAGTCCCAGACTGCTAGTCACACAAGCTTTTGTTTCCCAGTGAATAAAAAGTTATGTTTACACTATACTGTGGTCTCTTAAGTGTGCAATAGCATTATGTCTAAAAATTACCTCAATTAAAAAACACTTTTAGGGCTTCCCTGGTGGCGCAGTGGTTGAGAGTCCGCCTGCCGATGCAGGGGACACAGGTTCGTGCGCTGGTCTGGAAAGATCCCACATGCCGCGGAGCGGCTGGGCCCGTGAGCCATGGCCGCTGAGCCTGCGCGTCCGGAGCCTGTGCTCCACAATGGGAGAGGCCACAATAGTGAGAGGCCCGCGTACCACAAAAAACAAAAAACAAAAAACACTTTAAAAAAATTTTTCTAAAAAATATTTCTAAAAAATGCTAATCACCATCTGACAACACAGGGTTGCCACAAACCTTCAATTTGGAAAAAACGCAGTATCTGCAAAGTGCAATAAAGTGAAGCATAATAGAGACTCTGGGAGGGCTCATGCCAAGGAGTACTTCCCAGAACTTCTGCTGCCAGTGTCCTTGTCCCCACAGTAAGCTACAGCCACCCGCCGCCTCTGCAGGAGACCCTCCAATGCTCGCAGAAAGAAGTAAGAACTTGATTATCTGGGCGACAGTCAGCTCTACCCAACACCAGTCCCTCCCATCAGGGAACTTGCACGAGCCTCTTAGATAGCCTCATCCACCAGAGGGCAGACAGCAGAAGCAAGAAGAACTACAATCCCGCAGCCTGTGAAACAAAAACCACAGTCACAGAAAGATAGACAAGATGAAAAGGCAGAGGGCTATGTACAAGATGAAGGAACAAGATAAAACCCCAACTAAATGAAGTTGAGATAGGCAACCTTCCAGGAAAAGAATTCAGAATAATGATAGTGAAGATGATATGGGACCTTGGAAAAAGAATGGAGGCAAAGATTGAGAAGATGCAAGAAATGTTTAACAAAGACCGAGAAGAATTAAAGAACAAACAAACAGAAATGAACAATACAATAACTGAAATGAAAACTACACTAGAAGGAATCAATAGCAGAATAACTGAGGCAGAAGAAAGGATAAGTGACCTGGAAGACAGAATGGTGGAATTCACTGCCATGGAAAAGAATAAAGACAAAAAAATGAAAAGAAATGAAGACAGCTTAAGAGACCTCTGGGACAACATTAAACGCAACAACATTCGCATTATAGGGGCCCGGAAGGAGAAGAGAGAGAGAAAGGACCCAAGAAAATATTTGAAGAGATTATAGTCGAAAACTTCCCTAACATGGGAAAGGAAATAGCCACCCAAGTCCAGGAAGTGCAATGAGTCCCATACAGGATAAACCCAAGAAGAAACATGCCGAGACACATAGTAATCAAAGTGTCAAAAATTAAAGACAAAGAAAAATTATTGAAAGCAGGAAGGGGAAAACGACAAATAACATACAAGGGAACTCCCATATGGTTAACAGCTGATTTCTCAGCAGAAACTCTACAAGCCAGAAGGGAGTGGCATGATATACTTAAAGTGATGAAAGGGAAGAACGTACAACCAAGATTCCTCTACCTGGCAAGGATCTCATTCAGATTCGATGGAGAAATCAAAAGCTTTACAGACAAGCAAAATCTAAGAGAATTCAGCATCACCAAACCAGCTCTACAACAAATGCTAAAGGAACTTCTCTAAGTGGGAAGCACAAGAGAAGAAAAGGACCTACAAAAACAAACCCAAAACAATTAAGAAAATGGTCATAGGAGCATGCATATCGATAATTACCTTAAACGTGAATGGATTAAATGCTCCAACCAAAAGACACGGGCTTGCTGAATGGGACCCATATATATGCTGTCTACAAGAGACCCACTTCAGACCTAGGGACACATACAGACTGAAAGTGAGGGGATGGAAAAAGATATTCCATGCGAATGGAAATCAAAAGAAAGCTGGAGTAGCAATACTCATATCAGATAAAATAGACTTTAAAATAAAGAATGTTACAAGAGACAAGGAAGGACACTACATAATGATCAAGGGATCAATCCAAGAAGAAGATATAACAATTATATATATATATATATATATTCACCCAACATAGGAGCATCTCAATACATAAGACAACTGCTAACAGCTCTAACAGAGGAAATCGACAGTAACACAATAATAGTGGGTGACTTTAACACCTCACTTACACCAATGGACAGATCATCCAGACAGAAAATTAATAAGGAAACACAAGCTTTAAATGACACAATAGACCCAACAGATTTAATTGATATTTATAGGAAATTCCATCCAAAAACAGCAGATTACACTTTCTTCTCAAGTGCGCATGGAACATTCTACAGGATAGATCACATCTTGGGTCACAAATCAAGCCACAGTAAATTTAAGAAAAATGAAATTATATCAAGCATCTTTTCTGACCACAGCGCTATGAGATTAGAAATGAATTACAGGGGAAAAAATGTAAAAAACACAAACACATGGAGGCTAAACAATATGTTACTAAATAACCAAGAGTTCACTGAAGAAATCAAAGAGGAAATCAAAAAATACCTAGAGACAAATGACAATGAAAACACGACGATCCAAAACCTATGGGATGCAGCAAAAGCAGTTCTAAGAGGGAAGTTTATAGCTATACAAGCCTACCTCAAGAAACAAGAAAAATCTCAAATAAACAATCTAACCTTGCACCTAAAAGAACTAGAGAAAGAATAACAAACAAAACCCAAAGTTAGCAGAAGAAAAGAAATCATAAAGATCAAAGCAGAAATAAATGAAATAGAAACAAAGAAAACAATAGCAAAGATCAATGAAACTAAAAGCTGGTTCTTTTTTTTTTGGCGGTACATGGGCCTCTCACTGTTGTGGCCTCTCCCATTGTGGAGCACAGGCTCTGGATGCGCAGGCTCAGCGGCCATGGCTCACAGGCCCAGCCGCTCCGTGGCATGTGGGATCTTCCCGGACCGGGGCACGAACCCGTGTCACCTGCATTGCCAGGCGGACTCTCAACCACAGCGCCACCAGGGAAGCCCCCGTTCTTTATTAGCTAAGTGACTCAGTGTTTCTAGACTTATTATTACTATAGAATAATAATAATAATACTTGGTCTTATGGGACTATACTGATTAAAGTACATGTGTAAAAAAAATGAAGCATAATAAGTAAGGTATGCCTGTATTATGATATTTTGTTTTAATGAGTGGAGTCCAAGAAATTATATTAATGTTTATGCACATTGTTAACAGGATGGAATCCGACGTGGTAGACCCAGAGCAGATACTGTACGGGATTTAATAAATGAAGGAGAGCATTCGTCCAGCAGAATACGTTGTAACATCTGTAATAGGGTGTTTCCACGGGAGAAGTCACTCCAGGCTCACAAAAGGACTCATACAGGTAAGTTGAGCAAATTTTAGAGAATACCAAAAGTGATACTTAACTGAAAGCTGATTTGATGTTTGGGCCTATAAATTAATTTTTAGTTACCTTACATTTCCTTATTGTGAAGTTTTTTTTTTTTTTTTATATGGTTCTAATAAGGATATCAAATAATTTACAGATGAGGAAACTGAGGCACAAAACACCCAATTACCACTGACTTAAAACTTCTCATACCCTTAAGTCTAGAACTACACTGGCCAGTATAGTAGCACATGTGGCTGTTGAGCACTTGAAATGTGGCTAGTCTAAATTGAGATGAGCAGGATGTTTAAAATACACTTAGTATGAAAAAAAGAGAGTAAATGATATCTTTAATAATTTTTGATAATGATTACAAATTGAAATGATAGAATTTTAGATATATTGGGTTAAATGAAGTATATTATCAATTAATTTCACCTGTTTCTTTTTACTTTGTTAATGTGGCTACCATAAGTGGTTCTCATTCTATTTCTGTTGGTCAGTATGGGTCTAGAACTTGGGCTTTTAACCCCTGTTTGTTCCACTATGTTTATGGTCATCACCTGTTTTTCTTTCCGTTTTTGAAAAGATATATTTTAATGGTATGCTAGAATACAGTTTTCTTAGCTAAATCCCTGAAAAAGGGTAAAATTTTAATTTCGAATCATTATAAACTAAGGTGGCCAAGATGTTCTGACTTTAGGTATCATTCAGTAAAACCATTATTGAATGAATATCTGATTTTGAGAATTTTTGGAATTTTTAATCTACTTAGTCTGAAATAACCCCAAATAACTGGTACATAGCTGTAGAGTACATGTTGCCAGTGTGAAATCAGTTGCCAAGATTCAAGACCATGCGGCATCATAAAAAGGTGCCTGAGTCCCAGTCCCCATCTACCACTAACCCATTGTGTGTCACCCAATACTTCCAGGCTTACTACACTGTATGACAGGGAACGGAGCCGAAGATCTCCATGCTATAGTTAAGCTCTAATAGTATATGCTTTGTAAAAAGCTTTTGTCTTACTTTATCCTGTTTATTAACTTGTGTCCAACTGTCACATTCGTTTAGTACATTTCTAAATAATGAGAAATTTAGGGAAGACTCATTACTGTTCTTTGAGTCATATGGGAAGAGCCAGTATATAATTGTTGACCAGAGAATGTTTATTCAAGAAATAATAAGTTTAATTATGATTGAAAAACAACCTTTTTGAGTGCTTTCTTCAGCCTAGCACTGTGTTGTATATAGGAAATGAAATGGAGTACAAGGTGTTACGCATCTTTGTATAAGGAGAGTACCGTGATACATAAACAACGTAGGACACTAAGTTAGTGAAGGGATATGTAGCTTAATATTTGGAGGTGGGGGTTGGGGGGTAGGGAGGAGTTTTACTGAGACTACAGGATTGGGAAGATTTGAATGGGCAGAAAAGATAGGGATTTCAAAGAGTAGAAGATGGGGAACTGCCTCATGGCTGGAATGAATCTCCAAGAGGGAAGTAAAGATAAACCCTGCTCCCTAACCTAGTAGCTATAGTGCAGGTATTAGAGGACCATTGAAAAGTCAGCAGATAATTTTCAGTTGTTCGAGGAGTATAGTAGGGTTTGGGGTAATTTTAGAGTGTAGTTGCATGGCAGCTATTCTGGAAGTGCTGTGCAGGTCAGAGACTAGAGGCCTGCCAGGGTTCATTCTAGGTGGGAGGGGCTACCAGTCTGACCAGGGGAGGTGGTAGTGGGAAGGCAGGAGTGGCAGACATGTTAAAGAATCAGCAAGAGCTAGGGATTTGGATTGTGGGGTGAAAATATGGAATAAGTTGAAGATGATAACTTTAAGGATTTGAACCTGGGTACCTAAAAGCTCAACGCCTAAAGAAAATATTGTGCTTCCAAGTGGATAGATGCTTCATATCATCCAAGTGTGCCCTTAGCACTTCCACTTGCAGCTCTGCAGAGGCTGTGACATGTTTTATTGTTGTTTGCAGTCGTAACTTATATAAAGGTTGATTCTCTCTCCCTGCCCCTTCCCCTTCTCACCTTATGGTCTCAGAAATAATATATAACATCTGTCTACTTAGGTGAGAGACCCTATCTGTGTGACTATCCAGACTGTGGAAAAGCCTTTGTTCAAAGTGGACAGCTCAAAACCCATCAGCGTCTTCACACCGGAGAAAAACCTTTTGTTTGTTCAGAAAATGGTATGGTGTTAGGAGTTAAGTTTATGGAATAGCTAGTTGGGAGTTGAAATATCTTTTTCTTGAATTTTTGGGAAGTGAGATTTTTGATAAAGATTTAATCAAACCTCATAAGTTTTCTTCCTTGTTAATTGTGATCCATGCTCGATTTCCAGGAAATGACTGATTTTTAAATCAAGTATTCTTTTTAGGTGAAAATCTTAAAGGGCAATTAAAAATGCTATATCCAGTTGTATGCTGTAGAAAAATCTACACAAGTAAATACAGCCTTTAGAGTAGGCTTTTACTTTGGTTTTAAACTTTTTAACTGTTAAACTGAAAGAAGCACATTATTGTCGAAATTTTCAGTACAGGAGGAGCAGGGGTGGGGTGGATTTTACCAGCTCAACACTGCTACTGTTGGTAATTTCATAGTTTCTTAAGCTGTTTTTCTTATGTACATTTTTACCCAGTTATATTTGAAATTTAGTACAGTTTTGTTCTGTTGCTCCATGTTTTTTTTCCTTCTTTTTTTAATAGATCTTTATTGGAGTATAATTGCTTCAGAATACTGTGTTAGTTTCTGTTGTACACCAAAGTGAATCAGCCATATGTAAACATATGGCCCCATATCCCCTCCCTCTTGAGCCTCCCTCCCACCCTCCTTATCCTACCCCTCTAGGTCATTGCAAAGCACCGAGCTGATCTCCCTATGCTATGCTACTGCTTCCCACTAGATAACTATTTTACATTCGGTAGTGTACATATGTCGATGCTACTCTCAGTTCGTCCCAGCTTTCCCCTCCCATCCCGTGTCCTCAAGTCCATTCTCTATGTCTACATCTTTATTCCTGCCCTGCAACTAGGTTCATCAGTACCATTTTTTTTTGATTCCGTATATATGCGTTAGCATATGAACAATGATTGCCTCAATGTTAGTTATTAAATATTTAATTTGTTTTTTAAATTTGCTTGTTACCAACAAACATGAGGGGCATGTTTTCCTACTTAAACTTTTGTTTACCTTTGGGATTTTTTTTCTGATAGAGTCCAAGAATGAAATTCCTGGGTCAGAGATTTTGAACATTTTTATGACTTGTGCTAATAAATCACTCTCCACTGGGGTTGAATGCATTTACATTGCGATGACCAAGGTGAAAGAACCGTCTTCACATTCCTCTCAGTGGCATTGATAATAGCAGCTTAGGGTTATTTTTTTTTTCTCCTCAAGTTATAGAATGATAAATTTCATTATCTTAATTTACTTTTCTCGGATACCAGAGAAACTGAACATTTTCCATGTCTGCTGGATGTCCACATTCTGATAACTGTTTCCTTCTGTGTTTTGAAGGCTGCCTAAGCAGATTCACCCATGCAAACCGCCACTGTCCGAAGCACCCTTATGCCAGGCTGAAGCGAGAGGAGCCCACAGATGCTCTCAGTAAGCCCCAGGCTGTGGACAACCAGGCTGCCGCCGAGTGGTTGGCAAAGTAAGGCTCTCTCTGGAGTCTACTGCAGAACGCTGCCCAGTGTGTGGGTTGAAGTTGGGGACTTTTGACAGTTCTTTCAGTTTAAATAAGTTGCTTTTCTACACATTTTATAAAATAACTTGAAATGGCACTTTGTTTCCTGAAACCACAGAATTGTTAGGAGTTTTATTTGGATCTGTGTGATAGAAAACTACTATATGATATTAATTAGTCTGAGTGCTCAGACCACAATTTATTTTAAAAGCAAGAGTTTACCCCATTTGAAAAGGATGTTTTTTATGTATTGCATTTCATTTGTCATTAATGCAGTCCCTCTTCATTTTCTTTATATTGGTTTTAGCTACGTGTTGATTATTAGAGGGACAGAGACTAGATGTTATTCTAGAGTAAAATTCCAAAAAGCACCCAGTTTAATTTTTTTTAATGGCAACAAGGGGACCAGTATAAAAACATTTCTCTCAGGATATTTTGATTTAAGGAGTCATCTATCACATACACACCAGCAGCAGCTGACTGTGCCGCTCCCTAGCTTCACTGGCTTCCTCTGTACTGAGGATAAAGTCTAGAATCCCTAATTGTGTTGCTGTGGCTCTGCCTCCCTCTAGCAACACAGCTGTCTCCAGTCACCCGGGCTCCTTGTCTCTCAACAGCACTATTGCTGTTGTTTCCAGGCCTTTGTGCTCACTTCCCTCTGCATTTAGCCACTCTGCTCATTCTTCATTTCTTACTCAGGTTAAACACCGCTTCAGGAAGTTCTTCCCTAACCTGCCCACTAACCCCCAAAACAAACAAGGTTAAATCCACTTAATAGATGCTGTTATAACACATTGTATTTTCCCTCTCAAAACCTCCGTCACACATTTACTTGTTCAGTGGCTATCTTCCCTGCTGGATCGTAAGCTCCACAAGGGCAGGGAATATGTTTGTCCCGAGTACTGCATCACTACCTTCCTCCTGCCTAGCCCCCACTGCCCCATTATTCTAATTTTACCCAAGCCAGAAACTTATTAGTCATCCTTGTGTTTATCTTCTTTTTCTCCCATCTACTCAGTGACCAACCTATGGATTCTACTTCCTTAACAATTATCAGATTCAGCCACTTCAGTCTTCTCAATCCATTCTCCATGCTGCTGCCAGAGGAGTCTTTCTAAAATGCTAATATGATGCTCAATATTAAGTCTAAGCCCTTTATTATAGCATTCAAAGCCCTTCGTTACCCAGTCCTTGCTGACCTTGCTAAGGTATTTTGCTATTTTCCTTTTTTAGTTGTCCTTCAAGTGATACTGAACTGTTTGCATTTCTCTTTTTATACTTCTGAATATTTCCAAAACTTTTCTAGTTTGAGTAGTCTGGAGTTCCTGAAATCTGGTAATTGTATTTTTTTTGTATGTAATTTTAAAAACAGCTTTATTGAGGTATAATTGGCACACAATAAATTGTACACATTTAAAGTGTATAATCTGATGCATTTTGACATATGTAGACACCTGTGAAACCATCACCAAAATCAAGATAGTGAACTTACCCATCACTTTCACAGGCTTCCTCATGTCTCTTTGTAATCCATTGTCCCTGCATCTCCCTGCTCTCCTCCACCCCAAAGGACATTGACTGATCTGCTTTCCGTCACTATAGTTAGTTCACATTTTCTAGAGTTTCATACAAATGGAGTCATATAGTATGTACTTGTTCATCTGGCTTCTTTCAGTCAGCATAATTATTTTGAGAGTCATCATGTTGTTGAGTGTATCATTTCATTCCTTTTCATTGCTGTGCAGTAATCTGTTACATGGATGCACCTCCACTTATTTACTAATTCACCTTTTGATAGGCCTTTATGTTGTTTTTGGCTATTACAAATAAAGCTGCTATGAACATGAATATACAAGTCTTTGAATGGACATTTTTGTAGGTAATGTCATTTAAATATGCCTTTCTTTGGTTATCAAAAAAGGTGGAACATTTGTATTTTTTCTTGTGAATTATCAGTTGGCTACATAATAGAAAATGATGGTGCTCTTAAATTCTTGAGTAAGCTCTAGGTGTTACACATATTAATCCATCTGTCCTATTTTGTGGGTTTAAACTTTCTCATAGTTAACTGTCAGAAGCCATCATCCCTCTGTGGATAGAATAAATGGGTTTCTAATGATTATTCTACTGTTTCTATATTTTATTCTAGTCCATTTCACATATGATCTTTAAGGCAGCTATAGTTTAATGACAAAAACACGTGACTAGAGAGTTGAGTATAAGACCCAGAACTGCCACTTGTTGATTCTGTTATTCTGAGCAAGTCCTTCAACTTCTTGAACTTGAATATTTTTCCTCTGTTATGGAAAAACATGTAATATATTCGAAATCACTTTATAACTTTATAAACTGAAACACAAAATAGTACTGTAGGAAAGACCCCCCTTTTTATTTTCTTTAAAGAAAAGTGAACATTTGAGAATGTTATATATACTGTATAAGTAATACGGATGCATTTCATATAGGTACTGGGAAACACGAGAGCAGCGTACTCCCACCTTGAAAGGAAAGCTGGTTCAGAAGGCAGACCAGGAGCAGCAGGACCCTCTGGAGTACCTTCAGTCTGATGAGGAGGACGATGAGAAGAGCGG